AATACCGAAGGGAGGCTCCGATGCAGGAGGTCACTAAGGAAGTGACCTTTATCGACAGCCAGACAGGACAGCCACTTACATATGCAATGGTAGCTGCGATACAGGCGGCGGCCCAAGTGAGACCGGCACCTCAGAATGTGGCCCCACCGGCACCACAGAATGTGGCCCCTATGAATGTAGAATTACCACAACAAGGAGTGGGCAACGGAAATTTCGGTGGAAACGGATATGGAAATGGAAACTGGAATGGAGGTCAAGGTAACTTTCAGCCAAATAGAGGAAACCAGAATAACTTCCAGCAGAATCAGGGTCACGAACGGAATTCAAATTTCAAATGATTGATGGATGGGTCGCAAATGGTGCGCAGATGTGCCAGTACTGTATGTACGGCAACCATCAAACACAGGGATGTAAGTTCGCAAATACGCCGCCAGAGCAGAATCCGAACCTGTTTGCCTTCAGAGAGTGGCAACGCCTTCGCGCCACGGGCGGCTGGCGTCAGGCGGTGGCAAACGGATATGACCTGATCGCTCAATGGTATCAGGCGAAAGCGAACTTTCAGCAAGGAAACGGAAACTATGGAAATGGAAATGGCGGCCAAGGCGGTGGCAATCGTGGTGGTTACGGCCGCGGCGGCTTCAGAGGAAGAAACAGAGGCTTCGGTCGTGGAAACTGGAATGGTGGCAACCGAAACGGCGGAAATGGAGGTGGCCAAGGAAACTACCAACAGGGTGGTGGCCAATATAATTATGGCGGCGGCGGACAGAATCCTAACCCGGCAAATGATATCGGACAACAACAAGGAAATGTGCAAGGCGCGCAACAAGCTGGGGCGCCGGTTCAGGGAAACGGGCAAGATCAGTAGGCGCCGGTGAGCCTACTGATCGACCCGACCCTAAACCACCGGATAAAAAGGGAAAGGAAAGGTCACCACTGCAGAATGGTACTGCAGTGAATGTGACCACTGCAACGGCTATAAGGATGCCGCCAGCGAAAAAGGAAAGTGGACCGGCTATATGGATGCCGCCACAGCAAATTGAAACGGCTAAATGGGTGTCGTCATTGCAAAAGGAAATTGAAACGGCTATAAGGATGCCGTCACAGCAGCAAAACGAACTGGTTATCGGGAAACCAGTACAAGCGGATAAAAGGTCACCGCAGAACGGTACTGCGAGTGGAAACGCGCAACGGGACCAAAGGTCACCGCAGAATGGTACTGCGAGTGGAAATTGTCGTGACGGTAGCGCGACACTGCGAACAGCGCAGCAAAATGAAAGGTCACCGTACTGCAGCGAAGAGGTGTTAGCGCAACGACGCGCACAACGAAACGCAAAGATTCAACAGGCGCTTCTGAATCAAAAGAAACCGCAGAACGACACTGCGCAAGAGGAAAATGAACAACATGCGAAATTCCGAAAATACTTGGCAGAAAATGATAAAGTGAATGAGTCACGTTGCGACTGTTACGGAGGATAAGGCCAAAGTTCTGGAATTGTCTAGAGGATGAAGATGAGAAGTTGATAAGGCAAAAATGGATGGAGCAGAATACCACTGCAAACAGAAAAGATGAAAGGTCACCTTCCGTAGGAAAACTCCAAGCGAAAGGTCAAGGAGTGAGTGCGAACGCTAAAGGTCACGGTGAAAGCGCCGTGTTAAAAGGTCAAGAAAGAGACTTGACACTGCGAACAGCGCAAAAGAAGAATAGCGAACCGGCACAACAGAATTCCGATGACTCACTTGTGGATGCAGTAACGCTGCAACGGAAGGAAATATGGCAAAAAGTAGCCTACTGACCGAATGGGAATCACGGGATGTGGATACCCGTAACGCCGAAAGCGAAGCAGAAAGCGGGAATGTCGCAAGAAGATTACTGGGACATGCAATTGCGAACGCAACATGAGAGAAAACGACTGGGAGAATTGGTTACCGGGAAACCAATTAAAAGGTCATCGAACCCCGTCCCAGTATTCAACGCAATTGAATACAAGAATGCACAAGCTGACCTGAATAACCCGCGAAATGCACCGCCGGAACACAAACCGCAAAATTATGGAGAAAAAGTCCCCATACAAAAGTTGTCAAACGGCGGATTTGTTATAAAGCGCAATGAAAGGTCACAGGACTTGGCGCAAAATGAAAGCGAGGTGAAGTCATTGAGAAGTTGCGAGATAAACGAAACGAAAAACGCAAAGAGGAACTGATCCACGAGACGATAAACGAAGTGACTAAAGGTCACGTGGACAGCACAAAAGCAAACGAGCAAGTGCAGAATGTTGAAAAGGTTACCAGTAGTAAAATGGCTGCAGAGAAGCAAGCAGATAAGAAGAAGCCGCAAAAATTCTACGACGTTCGAACTGACGTGCCACACAGGATTGACAAGTTGAGGGAGATACTGAAAGGTCACAGTACTTCAGCGAAAGGGCAAGCGCTTCCCGACACGGATCCGGGACCAGTATCGCTAATCCCTGTGAAATGCAAGATTCACACCTTGAAGATTCAAAATGGAAAATTGTCCAAAAGAATTGAAGCATACACTCACGAAGTGAAAGTGGGAGATATAAAGGTCAACGCAATGCTGGACACCGGCGCTGAGACATCGCTGATCAGCAAACCGTTTTGCGAGACAAATGGACTTCATATGCTCCCATTGCCACCAGACAGACTGGTGAAGATAAACGGAATTAGCGGAACGTCAGGATTCCTGGTGACGCATTATTGTGTAGCACCAGTGACCTTAAGGAAGAAGACTAGCGAGCATTCATTCTACGTCCGACCGAAGTGTGACGACGTGCAGGTGCTACTGGGATTCGACTTCTTAGAGAAGAAGTTCGTACTAATGGATAATGAAGGCGAAGAAGAGAAAGAAGATGACCCGAAACCGATCGCCAAGGTTCAAGTCGGAAAGGTCACCGAACTAGTAAAACAGACGGGAAACGTTCAGAGCGATAATAAGGTGCTAATCCCAGTACCAGAGGCACCGGGAAAGGCAAAAGAAATGAGGGCGATTAAAGAATTGTCACCATTTGAGCAGCTGCAAATGATTCAACAGGAGATTGAAAACACACTAAACCGGACAATGCTGATACAAGAGGGAAGAGAAAAGGTCATCCCGGTACCAGAGGCACCGGAGAAGAAAAGTGAAAGCGGAAATATCAAAAAAGTGAACGAGAGGAACAAGGAACCGCTTGCGCCAGACACGGATGACGCGATCATATTTCTCCCGGACGGGAGAAGTATGATCGCAGACAACTGTAAGCAAGGAGCCACAGAAAAAGAATGTGTTGACAAAGTTATCCCAGTACCAGAGGCACTGGGAACGAAAGATGAAAGGTCACCAATTCTGAACTTGGCGCCAGAGCTGGATCCGAAAAACGTCAGTAAGACCTTTTTCGAACCACGACCTGCTACCGAAAATGAAACCGAAGTAAAAGGTTTGCAGAGAGTACCAGAGCGTACCCCGAATCTTTTCGAACCACGATCTGCTACCGGAAATGACGAAAGGTCACCAATACTTGAAGAGATAGCTGCCACACAGAAAGAAGCGACAGCTGCAGCGAAACAATCGCTTGTGCCTGGCATGGAATGGGCAAAGCCTATCCCAGTACCAGAGGCACTGGGAATAAAGACGGCCAAAGTCGGGAAGGATAAAAAGAGTGAAAGATTGCGGATATTGAAACGAATAGCCGAAGAAGAACAGATGTTCGCGAGCGAAATCCGCAACAAAGCGCTTGAACAGTTGAAAGGTCACCAACTGAACAATGAAACAGAGATTATTGAAATATCCTCCGACGAAGCGAGTATAACAGAAATCGAACGTGAGCAGAAAGCCGCAACACAGGAGAAGGAGATCGCCAAACCGCAAACGAATCGGAGGATATTAACTCCAGAAGAACGAATGGGGAGCTGCGGACACGGTTACTACGAGGATCCGTGTAGAGTGCAACCACAATGGGAATGCACTGAATGCTGCCAAGACGCCTCCCAAGATGACCTTTCAGAATGGCCGAGATGTAACGCCACACTGGCAGATCTTAAAGGTCACGTCCAAAAAGAAGTGAAAAGCATCATGCGGACGAACGAAATGTGGAAGCCACACATTGAGCGGTATCATTGGAACAGATATCGGACTTGGTTGTCATGTGTGAAAAACTTCATTACGGGGAGAGGAAAATGGCTGAACCATTGGCAGCAACGTGTGGATAACGGAATCCAAGATCCTCTTGACCCGGTATCAACTGAGCGGAAACTTGAAAGAGAGATAGACTCAATGAACGAGGAAGTACAGCTATGGGAAGAAGCGAGAATAGAATTGTTCTGGGACTTCCGCATAAACCACATGTACAAAGGTCAAGGGAGAACAGTTATATTCCCAACGGGACTCGGTACACCGGTATATGAGTCAGTAGTGGTGTTCTGTAAAGCACTAAAAGAAAACGACTGGGACATATTCGACAAATATTGGAGGAAATTCGAAGCGGAGATTCCAATATTCGACGCAAAGGAGATGCGCGAATTACAAGTAACCCGGAAAAGAAGGTTACCGGGATTGATGGAGAAGAAAAAGGTGACCTTTGCACCAGATCCAGACGGAGTTGAATACCCTGAACGGGGTGGTGACACGTGGTGCATGTATGAAACGATTCCGAGTGATGACTGGGTCACCGAAGAACTGATGGCAAATTGCGTCTTTGTTGGTCCCAAACGGCCTAAAGGTTACGAGATGGTCCAACAGGATGAAGTTGATAAAGAGACTGTGAAAGAAGCGGAGAAGGAAGAAACAGCTAAAGAGACAGCTGAAGGAGGATCGAACGAGACGGAAGAAAGTCCAAAATCAGCCTTCGACATTGCACAGATGTTAACGGACAGAGGAGAAATGTGGAAGAAGTTTAAAGAGGAGGTTGAAAGGATATCAACGAACAGCAAAACCCAGTAACAGAAGCAAAAAACGGGGAAAGGTCACTCGATAACGGTGAGGAATGTCCGCCGGTCGAGTGGACCGAAAAGCCATTAATGAGCCTTGAAGAGATTGACGATTTGGAAAGGTCAAAGCAGGTAGAAGAAAGGTCAAACTCTGATCAGTCGGAAAGGTCATCAACGAGAATTCGGGTAGCAAGGAGCCACCCGAGAGTCGCTACACGAAACAGGCGGAAGGCAAAGGAAACGGACAAACCTCTGCTCAAAAATTCGAAAGCGAAAAAACTTAGCGATTCGCGAGAAGACGAAAGTGACCTTTCATCAGAAGATGAAGGAGTTGATGAGCGCCCACTCGAAAAGGCTGACAAAGGTCAAGCCGCTGCACAAGAATACGAGAGCAGCGATTCGGACTCGGAATGGACGAGTTCAAGTGATAACTCAACGACTTCGGAAGATTCAGGTGTAAGTGACCTTTCAGAACAAGAGGACTTAATGGATCTAGATGAAGATGACGAAGTGGACGAAGAAAAAGAAAAAGAAATTAAAGTCAGAAGATTGAAAGTGGAAAAGGCTAGAATGTCAAAAGATGTGATTAAAGTCTACAGTGACCAAAGAATTAAATTGAAACCGTCAAACTGCACACGGGTAAAGGTCAAGATGGGAAAATATGCACCGGCCCAAAACAAGTTGATGTTTACACCGGTCCCACAAGTGGAAATTGAAGTGCAACCGTTGGCAGGAGTGACGGATCACAGGGGAAAATACTTTGAAATCGTCATCGCGAATCACAGTAGCAAATACCGAGTCGTGAAGAAAAATCAGCTTCTCGGATACGTTGAACCGTATGAACATATGGAAAATGTAAAGGTCAACGCTGGGACAGTAAAGAACGTGCTCGAGGACCCAGAGGTGGACGATACGACGAAAGCTGAATTGACAAAGATAATTGGAAATCTGAAATTAGGACCTGACCTAACTGAGGAACAAAAGAACGACGTGTACAACGCGTTCTGGGAATTCTGGAAGGTCTTACCGACGTCCAAGAAACCGTACGGAGATGTGAAAGGGTCACTCACGTAATCGATACGGGAGATGCGAAACCGGTCAAATGTAACCCGGCCAGAACGAGTTGGACAGGCCGCGAGTTTATAACGAAGCATATAGAAGAGATGCTGGCACAAGATGTGATCGAACCGTCAGATGCCGAGTGGAGCTTTCCAGTCGTGCTTGCCGTGAAAAAGAACGGCGACGGAACGATGGGAACCAGATTTTGTGTCAACTACATCATGTTGAATAAGTTAACGAGAAAGAACAATTACCCGTTACCGAATCCGGACGAGTTGCTTGATGCGTGTGCAGGCAATAAATACTACGGAAAAATGGACCTGCAAAGCGGATTCTGGCAGATCCCAATGGATCCAGCGTCAATCAATAAGACGACCTTTGTAACGCAAGACGGAATGTACCGGTTCAAAAGGATGCCATTTGGAGTCTGCAACGGACCAGCGACATTCCAATTGTGCATGGATAAAGTACTGTCGAAAGCGAAAAGAAAGGGTTGCGTTTTCGGGTACATCGATGATGTAATTTTCGCCGGAAAAACTTGGGTGATTTTCATGCAGAATCTGAGAAACGTCTTAATGAGTCTAGTTGAAGCGGGATTCACAATAAAGCCAACCAAATGCGAATTTGGGATGAGACAAATGGGCTTCTTGGGACATATCCTCAGTGAAGACGGAATTCGAATGGATCCTGAAAAGGTCACCGCAGTCTCAGAATTTAAACGACCTCAAACAGAAAGGCAGTTAAGGTCATTCCTTGGACTGGCGAATTATTATCGCAAGTTCATAATGGGATATGCACAGAAGACTTGTCATCTGTATGAATTACTGAGACAGGATAAACAAGTTAAAAAAGACTGGACGAAAGTGCACGAAGACGAGTTCAACAGTTTGAAACAACTGTTGTGTGAGGGTCCAGTACTGGCGAAGTTTGACCGTGCAAAACCGACCGTTATAGAATGCGACGCGAGTAAAGAGGGAATTGGAGCGGTACTGTCACAAGACGGACACCCGATCGCATACGCGAGTCGCGTCTTACACGGAGCCGAGAGAAATTACGGTGTAACGGAATGGGAATGTCTGGCAGTGGTGTTTGCTGTCAGGAAATTCAAACCATTTATCGATTATGCGGAATTCACCGTAAGAACGGATCATCAGGCGCTGACCAACCTATTGAGGTCGGAAACGAATAAAGTTGGAATGAACCCGCGTTTGACGAGATGGGCAATGGCGCTGCAAGGTCACCAGTTCAAAATCGAATATAAGCCGGGAAAGTATTGTGACAATGCGGACGCGTTATCAAGAGCGCCGATCTAAGGGCCAACGTGTCACGAAGAGGAATTTGATGAAATCCCAAACTTCGAGGACTACAAGAAGGAGTTTGACACAAAAGAACCAGCGATTGAAATTGGCCAGTTGTTCTTACAGATGGTGGAACAACGAGAAAAACGATTAAAGGTCACCTCAGCTACGGCGAATGAGTCGGCTGAAACGGAAGCAAAAGTGAACCGGGTAAAAAGTTGGTTGCCCGCTAGGAGTGACCTAAAGGTCACCGGACTTGAAGCGGAACCCGAACCTCAAAACGGAAAGGTCACGGGACTTCATGAAACAACGGAGAATAGAGATGACCTTTGGGAAACGGACAAAGTCACACAGGCGTTGAACGAATGTCCGATTAAGTTGCTGAGATTCCCAAAACAGACGAAAAAGAGATATAAGCCATTACCACGTTGTAAGGTCATCAAGGATTGGAACGAACTTAGCACAGCGACAGTCCGCATTGTCAACTTGCAAGGTGATGAGGAAGAGGAAGATGACTCGAACTTGCAGTTGCGAAATAAACAGTTGAAGGACCCCCATCTGGCAATGATAATAGACGAGTTGGAACATCTACCAGACGCGGAAACAAGATCGAAATTCGAAGTGCATTACCAGTTATGGAATGGCATATTGTACCGAGTAAAGGATAAAAATGGAAGACTTGAAAGGTCATATGTAGTACCATTGTCAATGCGAAGGGCGATAATTCACGCATTGCACGATGAGAAAGCGGCAGGACATTTGGGATTCGAAAAGACATTGACAGCAATCCGACTCCGATATTATTGGGATCGAATGAGTACAGATGTGAAGAATTACATAACTGCCTGTCAAGGATGTCAATTTCGTAAGACACCAAGAAAATGCCCACCTGGAAAACTGCAAGAGATTAAAGTGGGACACCCGTTCTTCCGAGTCTACGCGGATCTGAAAGGACCGTTGTTACCAACGAAGAAACGAGGTTACAAGTATATTGCGGTGTTTATTGACCAGCTAACGAAATACGTGATCGCGGTACCAATGAAGACGGCAACAGCCAAAGAGTTTGCGAAAGTGTTTGTAAAGCACGTGATATTGGTACATGGAGCACCGCACATCCTACACACGGATCGTGGACGACACTTCACAGCTGAAGTTTTGACAAAGGTCACCAATGTGTTTAAGATTAAACACACATTTGGAACAGCATACCATCCAGAAGGCCAAGGCCAAGTCGGAAGACAGATGCAGACGATTGCGGATGGCTTGGCGCAATACTTGAAAGCGGGAAACGAAAGAAAGTTTAACAAGTACCTCCCATACGTCATTTCGGCGATGAACAGAGTTGTACACGCCACGACCGGATATTCAGCATATTATATGCTGCACGGCAGAGAAATGACAATGCCGGAGGATGTGGTCACAAAAACGAACATCCCAGACGATTATGGAACCCCAGATGAATGGGTGGAGACCATGAAAAAGAATTTGACCTTTGCTGAGGAAGTGGCGAGGTGCAACATCAAAGACGCTTACGAGAAGAATGCGGAAATTTACAATAAGAAGAAGTCGGAACCGATTTTCAAAGTAGGCGACTTGGTATTGATACGACTCCCAAAGGATACGAAACAAGGGAAGAAGGAGAACCAATCGGACTTTAAGTCCAAATACGATAAAGTATGGAAAATTCTTAGCTTCCCGCGAGCAAACGAAGCAGAGGTTATCGAACAGAACCCAAAGAAGGAAGCGGACTTAAAGGTCGTCTCAATCGACCGCCTGAAACCATGGCATCCACCATTGCCAGATGAAAAGTTGGAAGGCGATCATCAAGGAGAGATGGAATCAGAGCGAAGTCCACAAAATGATTTGAATTCCCAACGCAAATCATTTTTCGAACCACCTCTGCTACCCGAAAAGGAAAAGTCGGAAGGAGACAAACCCAGTGAAGCCGAGCATGCTCCGAAAGATGGTATCAGTCAATTTTTCGAACCATGCTCTCTGCTACCTGATACAGGTGGAGATAAACCAAAAAAGAAGAGAGGGAGACCGAGGAAAGAGGATAAAGACTTCGAGACAGCGGTTACAATAAAGTTGAACGCAGAAGCTGGGAATTTGGCGGAAAGGTCACCGGAGACTGGTGACCTTCCTGTCACATTACCAAATCGCCAGAAGGATGGCGAAGTACCAGAGCGTACTTCCAAAAAGGACTGGCAACAATCCTTTTTCGAACCACGCACTGCTACGGTGAATGATAATGACCTCATAGAAACGAGAAAAGAGGAAATAGAAGCGGTCAAATCAAAAGCTGAACAATTGGGCCGTGATATAGCGAAAGCCGTTGAGGAGAAAAAGGCTAAACAGAAGAGAAAGAAACTGACTCCTACAGAATTGCTGACCCAGAAAGGTGAAGTTGAAGATGCGGCCGACAAAGAACTCCTTGATCGGATAACTAAAGGACGCAAAGAAAATTAACCCACATAAATACGAATAGGGGGTTACTTCACTAAAAATAGGAGTTGGGAAGGCGTAAAGGAAAAGTCATCACTGCTATGAGCGCTAATTAATATTGTTGCATTATTACAGAAGGTAAGCCAGTTAATGGACAGATTGGAACGACAGAATTCAGAGAATTCGGATTCGGAAAGTATTGGAAATCCATTAAAGACATCGACCCCAAAGAGAATGGAAGGGGAATATGGATACGACACTTCATATGGCGAAGGGTCAACGTCGTCAGCAGGAACGGCACAGAACGAGCCAGGCCAGGGAGGTTATTATGGCGGCCCGGAGTATTATGTGTATCACGATCCGGGACAGCAGACGACCTATCAAGATACGGTTAACTGGGTGCACCACGGCTTACCCGCCGGAACCCAGTATTCGGGACAAACAACGAGCACCCCTTATCAACCGCATCCGGGATCGTATACCCCATCGATGGGACCACCGCAAGTGATGGGACCGGCAAGAATGCTGATGCCGCCACCACATCAGACTACACCGAGCAGATTTATGGGACATGGAGGATTTGGCGTAATGTTAGCGACCCAGTCGCAAAGGTCATCTCCGATATTGCCGCCTTTCCCAGAATCGGGAGGCCTATCATTGTTAGATATCGGAGCGCCTCGTATGAGAACACCGCAGCAACTGGGAGCGCAACGACTTCACAGGAACTCGCCACAAAAAGGAGGGAGGCGAGGAGAAAATCGATTCGATTCACCACGACCGCGAGGCGTACTGCCGTCGCTGGGCCCAAATTTGGAGCAGGTCGGACCAGATGGTTTACGGACAACGCCCCCAGGTGAACCAACCATACATGATTATTCGCCGAAACTCCCACTGGACATGAAAGATGATGATGCGCGACTAAACGTGACAGTGGGCAATGAAGAAAGACTGACAGCGGCTGACACAACGGCCATCCAGGATTTTAACCGAATGTGTCGGGACCTCTATAGAATCCATATGCGAGTCGAGGACGAACACGCATTCTATGGAAGATTACTGAGTCTGGACGCGATCATCGAAACAGCCCACATCGCGATGAAGGAAAAGACTAAGAGCATTGAAGTTAAACGCAAAGAGTTGGCAATCAGAATCGCCTCGATGAAACAGTACCATCCGGCTTTAACTAACAGAAAATGGCCACCGATGATTGAGAAGATACAGGTATTTCTCAAGACGATTCCTAAAGAAAGGAGACCCCTGACAAGCAGTGCGGCGGGGCCATCACGGACATTGGTTGAAGCACCCGTAGAGGAGATGTCGGATAGCGTCCTCCTAGACGCAAAACGAAAAATTGAAGCCGAATTGACTGAACGAGCAGAAAGGTCACGGGCAAGCTCAACCGCAGGATCAGTACGCGGACGTACCAGTTCGGTTACAGAACCGTCCAGCGGGACTGTAAAGAGTGGAAAAAGAGTAAGGTCACCGACGACAAGTCCAAAAGAAAGTGAGAAGAAAGAGCAGCGGACGAAAAAGGTCACGACGGGTAAAGCACCGATCCCAGTGGGTAGAAAGAGTGCACCACCCACGCCGTTGGATCCAGAAGCTGCTTCAATTCGATTTCCGAAGTGCCGGACTTTTACAGTTAAATACACTGGAACGGATCATAACGAACGAAAGGTCACCGCTCGGATAGTCGATAAAGCAACGAAAAAAGAGATCGACTCGTACAACCCTTTAGCGGATAAATCAGTTAAAACTGAGATTGGGGAAAGGTCAAAGACAGAAGTCAATGAGGCGTTACAGTTCATTCCTCCGGAAGAACGTCATAACCCGAGAGTCCTCATTCAGATGATGAAGCATGTGGTGTCCAAAGTAGCGACCGAAGAAAATGCGTGGATCCGTATTAAGGTGGGCACAAATGACGACCACTTGGCATATACATACACGGTGGAAGGGAAACTGCTGACGAAAGAGAGAATTCGGCCAAAAACGACAGCAGACCCAGACCCAAATAAACGAACATTGGACGATTATGAGTCGACCCTGAAATACACCGATGGAACATGCAGGAAAGTGACGCTAACACTTCACTTCGGCGATGGAACAACGGATTGCTTAACCGCAGTAATCGTTGACCCGATTACAGGAGATCCGATTCCATATGCCCCATGAGACGTGTCAGAAGAGAGTGCCGAACACGCCAATCGGACAGCACTAGAACAGTTGTGGAACTTGATACCAGTAAGTGAACGTCAGGATCCTTTAGTTCAAGCGAATACGCTTATCAGCATGATGCGACATCGAGTGGAGATAGACGAAGCCCATTTCCGACTCACGAGAAAAATGGAAAATGGAGCGTATAAAACGGTGTTTTATGACGCGAAGAAAAACCCTTTGTGGGAGATCGTCACACAGGGACAGACGGTCGAAACACCGCACTTGGAAATCCAGGCCCAAAACCCGGCACAAGAAAGTGGAGTCGGAGAGATGGCAGAGGCCTCCGTAGCCGAAGCGGCATCAACGGAGAGTACCCGGCGACCATCGAAACAGGAGGATTCAGAAGAGGAGGAAGCTGGTGACGACTCAGCAGAAGAACCGGCCGATGAAGATAAGATGGCCGAGGAAAATAAGCAGCTTCCAAAAGTGGTCGTTAAACCGAGGAAAACGGCTAAATTGGCTGAGGCCATGAATCGGGAAAGGGCTAAGAAAGGTGACTCTCTAAAGGAACGAAAAGAAGAGGAAGATAAGAAGAAAAAGAGCGGTAATGAAAGCGAGGGCACAAGCACCCGGAAGAAAAAGGGGGAGAGAGAGAAGAAAGACGAACCGTCGTCTCATGATGTCGAAATATTGGACGAATCAGTCGGTGAAGCGGAAGAAAGGTCATCTGTACCTATTATTCCTAAGAAATTCGTTATCGAATCGGCTACATCGAAGTTAAAGGTCACCGAGCCTGAGCCGTCAACATCCAAAGGAAAGATCATAGCTGTGAAACAGATTGTTCCGGTCGTCATTTCGGCGTCCACTACGAAAGAGCGTAGGGAGAAAGGAACGCGTGAGAAAGGGAAACGGGAGACATCCCGCGAATCGGAAGCATCGGAAGTGAGTCTTCCAAGTACTTCAACGGTTAGTACGAGGTCACACACGGACCCGAAAACGAATAGATCAAGAACCGCAGAACCAGGAAGCCTAGCGGAGGCTCTTGAAAAAGGGAAAAAAGCAAAGAGCGAACCCGCAAAGCTGAAAAAGAAAGGAAAAGAGGCCATGAAAATCGACGAACTGGCAATGGCCACTTACATTGAACCGGACGGTGACAGTGAACTTGATTACTCGGGAGATGAAGCGGAATTTGAAGATCCCGATAGCGATAACTTGACCATGATTGACGAAATCATTGATGCGTTCAACGGAGCTGAGAAGAACTTTACACGAATAAGAACCACATCAGTAACGTCTAGATTCAGAACGGGCTTAAAGAAATATCTGAGGAAGGAAAAGCACCGTAGTTTTACCAAACAGAAGTTTGATGTGGTGCGGGAATACGCTCGGAATGCGGGAAAACTACTCCAGAAGCATCCGAATTTCGCGTATAAGGCTAAGTTATTCAGACCGTCAAGTTCGGATAAGTCGCTGACGACTCCAAATGAAGACACCTCCATGCGAGTAGAAAGGGCAATCGCGGGGATGACAAGCCCGTTGGGGTCAACGAGTCACCGGATCAGCCAATATATCAATGCTGTCTGGAATGACGGAAAAGGACTGATAAAGGAGATCGACTCGGCTACTGAACGCGTATTGCCAAGGTTGATAAAACAGAATATCCTTTCAACAACGAACGCACATAAAGGATATCCGATCCGATACACGAGAGTAGGCCTGATTCCGCCGGAAAAACAAGCCCACTGTCATATGTCCGACAGTCAGGAGACGGAAAAAGTGCCATCGAGTGGAGACCCGACAACTCCCATACTGAATCGGATCGCACAGTTAACAGCTGAAGAAGCAGCCGCCCAGGCTTCTTCTAAGAAAGCGACGAAAAAGAAAGGACCAATGGACTCGGACTCGGAAGAAAGTGAAGACGACACTACGACACAAACGCCTCTCGAACCAGCGACAGCGCAAGATAAACAGTCTAAAGGTCAAGAGACATCTGGAACTGGAACTGTGACGGAAGAAACCCAACCGAAAGGTCATGGGACTTCTGAAAAACGGGAGAAAGAAAAGGTCATGCTCCCGATGGACAAGGCAGCGGCAGAAGCGGAAGCAGCCTCTGCGCGACAGGTGTATCAAAAAACATTGTTCGCACCATTGAAGGAGGCTTTTGAGAAAGAGCGGCCGAAGTCAGCAGATGAAGTGGGAGGTCACGAGACTTTACCACAGAAGGAGAAAGCTGATGAACCGAAATCTGCTCAGTCATCATCTGGCTCAGCGGCAAAACTGAGGATTGATGAAACGGAAATAACTGACCCAACGGACTCGGCAATATCCCCCCAGAAAACGGAGACTAGCGGTACAAAAACGAAAGAGCCGACAGATTACACGTTAGGCGCACCGTTGGATGTGACTAACCGGACATGGAGCGAAGTCCAAGCGGCGCTTCAGAACAGTGGAGAAGGCGAAATGCTTGGCCCAGACTTGAAGAGACGAGTCGCGGAAAACTCGAACGGGAGGTCATCACTCAGTATGACCGAGCGAGTCCTCAAACGGGCATATAAGGAAGGAAGACTGGGATGTAAATACGACAAAGACAACAAGATTATTTACTACCTTCCGAAACAGGGACAGGACCGCACGCCCAGATTGAAAATGGAATTGGAGGCATGGAAGATAGCCATCACAGATGTGGCTTTAGACGCCATTGGCGGTACCAATGGAGTGTCATGGAATGACCTTTCGAACTTCATGGCCGTCCATTATGAATTGGGAGAATTGAATATTGAGAACGATAAAGAATGGATCAAGAACGCCGTTGAAGCATTGATTGCAGATGACGTGCTTCATATTAACCAGGATGGCCGAGTTGACTTCAAGCCGTATAAACCGCCGGCAAAGGAGTCTGAATGAATGGGACGAGTGTAATATGCAGCGAGTAATGAACCCTGCATATTACAGAAAAAGCATAAAATATTTAAAAACGAATGAGTTTTATTGATTGAAAAAGTCGTACAGATCGTGGCGGAAGAGGATGGGTACGCCATGGAAACGAGATAACCGAGACGAGTATTCAGCGGAAAATCGATACGGCAAAGATTTTAGCAGCAACAAGAGGACGTGAAGAACAACGGCGTGCAGAGACTTACCGTACAGAGCCTGAAAAGGAAGGTCATCAGGTGCCGTTGGGAGTCGGATTCCGTAATCGCAATGTTAGAATGTCAACACCCGAAAGGTCATGGGACAAAAGACGCGAACACACGCGGAATAGAACGCCAGACCCACAGGACAAACGATGGCAGGAAAGAGCCAAGTATTATGCGGGTTTTGAATCTGGCGCAAGTAAAAGGTCATCGAGCGCAGAAAGGGAAGATTCACCCCCGAAGTATCAGCGAATGGAGTCAACAGTCCATGTGGTGGATCCAATCATTAGCGCTGCTCAAGAAGATGACCCGATGGAAGGGCTCGGTTCAGCCGCAGAAGCGTCCCAAGATAACGTGATACACCGAAGAAATGTGGTCCTTGACAGTGACCCCCAACCATCCACATCGATGGGTATTGAAATTGAACCGCTGCAGAGCGGACGACGCAACCAAGAAAGTCGGCGCGAGCCGGATGAACGCGGTCGGCGAACGACTTCCCGATTCAATAACCGACACCCCGACACAATCGACATGGTATACGATATGCGCGACACCGATGAACAAAAGACGGAAATCTGCCGATACATGGGGATTGAAGACGATTCGGCGGATGCGAATAAGATTCACACAATTCTAAATCAGCTGCGTCAATTTTTACTCGATTCGGGCTATGCGAAAGAATTTAAAGAGGGAGTGGAACAAGGAATTTTCCGTCAATTATACATTCCCCGTGACTCAGCAAGGGATTGTTATCTCCCTATCCGACGAAACGGATTACATAGCCTTTTGGATTTGAATTTGTTGGACGTGCCACTGGATACGACTGACCCCATCGGGATGACACAATTCTATTATAGAGATTATCCCGAGCGACAAGAATATGTGGCTCAGTTCGTTTTACGACACGTGAATCCAGCCTTCAAGTTGCTTGCAGCAAGAGCATCGATAGGATTACAAGTGGATCCTAAAGACCATGCCGCACGAAGGATGGGGCAAAAAGTCTTTGCTGCACGGCTGGCCCATTATAAGACACAGAACCAGTTGGTGTCTAATACCATGAAGGACGATATCCCACTACTCTTCCGACCTCACGTGGCGAAATTGGGCGAACCCATGGAACATGTTGGAATAGCCCATACGGCAAGAAAGGCGCTGAAAAAGTGTAAGATACGAATGGAAAAGGGCAATCTTACACAACGCCATGCCTCCCAGGTTGAAGAGAGGATTAATAAGATCAAAGACACCATGGGAAGTGATTACGTCGAACCTTTTGACGGAGTTGAAATGTACATCGACGAATTCCTTGTAAAGAAAAGCGATCGGCGCCCAGAACGCGCCCCTAACCAGATTGGACGACGTGGTCTACGGAACCAGCAGCTCCGGGAAAATCTCGCCGATGTACAGCGTCGACTAGCAGATGACCCCGACAATCGAAGACTGCGATTGGAAGAAAATGACGCACGCCATCGGGTAGAGGCGGTTAAACGCAGTCGCCAAGGGAAAGGTCGCGGCCAGCGAGAAGCTGACCCGGAAAAGGTCATGGCAGTTGATCCCACGGAACCGATTGACCGAACGTCGGACCGCAATCAACCAGAAAGTTCGAAGAAGCGCCCGCCGAAAGACGGCGAGGAGGGCGACTCAAATGAGATGGAATAGTGTTGGTCGCTAGGATCACACTATTAAAAAGGCGTCTACGGCATATGTCGGTACGTCAGAAAAATGAAACAGGGTGTTGTATATAAGGGCGTTATGACTTGTTCACATAAACTGTATTCGTGTATTGTTGTTTTCAGCGTTTATGGCACAGAATTGCCTGAAAGAAATCATGTGGAGCATCTATTGGGGTTGAAATTGATTCGGTCTACAAAGCCGGCCCCAAGGGAGTTGCTACGGCAGTTAGCCGGCTCTCCTCCTTAAGCGATTCAGTGTTATAAATTTGCAAGAGAAACTACGGTAATCAAGCCGGATCTCTTGAATACGAAAGCGGGCCACAAGCGGCGAAAAAGAGAAAGACAACAGGTGGAAATTTTAATGGGGTAAACTTGATGCGGCAGTCAGCCGGCCTCATTAGAGTTGCTACGGTAAACTATGCCGGCAATCTCTCCAAGCGAATCAGTGTTATAAGTCAACTAGAGAAATAGCGGTAATCAAGCCGGATCTCTCGTACCGAAGTTGGGCCACAAGCGGCGAACAAGAATAAAGATTTAATGTGGAAGCGTCATGGGGTAAATTTAATGCGGTAGTTAGCCGGCCCATCAGAGATGCTACGGTAAACTTTGCCGGCACTCTGGCCGCTCGAGGCATATTGAAGTTGGATGTGCGACGGAAAGGTCAAATTGAAAGTTTTACCAGGGAGGCAAGCGAAGAAGCGCTTGGATGCCGCATAAAATTGGCTAAGTTCCTCCATAACCTTTTGACGGAAGTTTGAAGAAGAAGTCGGATGACCTTTGGGATCATTACCGCCCAAAAGAGTCACCGTACCGGGATTCAAGTCGCATGACCTTTTTGGGACCATTAACCCAAAATGAGTCGCACATCTCAACGGATCATCTCAACAAAGGATGACCTTTACCAGGGAGGAAGCGAACTCCGCTTGTCTTCATTGACGTCCCTCCATGACCTTTAACGGATCTCATTTGAAAGTCGTACAATTGATACGCACTGTATTCCAAAGATTGAAGCAGTATTCTTAAGTCGTACTTGATACGCACCTGATCCTCAAGCGGATTGTGATGAAGTCGCACTACGGCTGCGCGAAGTTGCTCAACAGAGCGGAATGGACCAAAGTGCGGAAAACGGTGGACAGGACCTGTGACCTTTACGAGTCAGAAATGGAGGACCTAGTCTACATTTGATTAATACTTTTGTTGATCTTATAACTGTTGATCTGCTTTTGTATTAGAATTGATATGGAATAGTATTTTAATACAGATCTCTTTATTTCACATTGTGCATTTGGAATTATGTGATTAAATGGATTAAGAGATTTAATGTTTTTGAGCACGCACAGACACCGGCGACCGTCCTTTCGTGGATTCGGGAGTGTGTCCAGCCTCAACGGAGCTCGGCATCCCCCCAGAGGCATGTGAGACGAGGCTCACTAGCGTTCACGTCCGTGGCGCTAGGCGCTACGCCTTTGGATTACGGTCTGTGACGTGTCTCGTTTTGATTGGCTTGAGTTGTGTTAGTGGGCGCGGCATAGCACATGCTGCACAGTGTTGCACACTGTTGAATGGGTTCTACGTTTTACGATCGAGCTGTGCCGATCACTTGTTGATTTTCTGCTCTCCAGACTTTCAATATTATAAAAAGTCAGCAATTACGGTGCGACGTTTTGTGTTTCCGCATAGCTCGCAATCCAGATCGTATTGCTCGCTCCACGGGATAGATTCCGTTTCTGTCTCCGTCCCTGGATCCATTCTGGATCTAGCACTAGACCACCATTGATAAGCGAACTGGTCATCGCCGATCGATGCAATCGCAAGAGCACAATACTGCAGCAACACTGCCCCTTCCGGCCGCTGTGTGCGATGTATGGCGCTGTTACTGTGTTAACTGTGTAGGCGTCCGGAGGCCGAGCAGACTCACTAAAAGCGTGTGAAGCATTTCTTTGTATTACTGAAAGAAAACTTTAATTTAATTTATTAATTAAACAATTTATTAATTTAATAAATCAATTTAATAATAAATTAATTCATTAAGTTAATAAATAATTTAATTTAATAATGACCTGCACATGGTCTCCATTTTTCTCACAAACGACAATACATCGCCTGGATATTCAGTAGAACTTTGTCCAAACAATTTTCGGATGTTTGTCCAAACATTTATGTAGGAGATGTGTAGGAGTAGAAGTACTGTATATGTAGAAGATGTATTTTACAAAGTTTTAAAAACCTAGAAATATTCCGCAGTCTCCTTCAGTTTGGCAATTTACGCATGCCAATTTCCGCCAGATTACTGTGCACATTTCTCCCGTGCAACGAATGCGGGAACCCGCAAAACAAAAAAAAATATAAATCCCAGAATAAATACGTATTGAAATTTCCAGACTAGGGAGAACTGCCGTAATAATTTATCACTCTCCGTAAAATTAATAAAAACCAAATTAATGAATCTGAGCTCTAAGCTCTTACAGAGTAGATGCGAACCTGCGAAGTCTCGGTTAATTGTTGTAATTCAGTAACTGCGAAAAAATTCAACGAAGCACATTGTGACAATCAACAATAAAAACTGATTTTGAAAATAAAACCCTCGAAAAAAAGATTCCTTCAAGCATACTGCAACACATGAGCGTCGTTCAGAAAATTTCGATAACCCATTCCGTTGCAAAGAACACCCATATCCACGAGAAAAAATCATGAAATGACGAGAGAGCACACTCACCCCGAAGGCAGACACTAATAACTTCGAAGCCAATGTTTTCCCCTTCGCGATCGCAGTCCGTCCATAGGATCAGCTTGTGACTGGCACGGGCTTCGCGCTCCAGCGTGCGTTTGATACTCAGGGAGTTGTCGGGACAGACGGAGCGGACAGGCGCGTCGAAGAGCTGCAGAATGTCGATATTCTGCCAGCTGGAGTAGGGCGCGGGGAAGTCCAGGCTCAACAGGTGTCCGCTGACCGACGTCATCACCATCTGACACGGCTGCCCAAATACGTCATATCGGAACTCGTACACCTTGTTAAATTTGGAGTAGCCTTCGCGGCGGGTGCTGCCACCCTTGGACAAGATGCTGGCAATGCTCTTGGCTGCATCGTTCTTCTCCGCCACGTTCAGGATCCGCATCACGCATCAGCGTTTCCAACTTACTTAGCCTATTTCAGATTGCATACGGTACAGGCTCCGTACATAGAATAGTACAACGTCAGATATTAGCAATACGTTAGCAGGATGAAAACTGCTTCAGATCTTTGTGCGGTTACACTTTGGTCACGTAAGCATGAAAAAATTAGGTACGTAGTCACTACTACGTACTGCACTTCTAGTCGATTGCGCGCGAGGACGTGACCACCCTGCTTACGGTCGGCGGTCTGTGTCTGAGCCGGATTTTAATTCGTAATTGAACTCACCTGGACTGCAGACTGACAGTGTGTCAATTTGAAATTTTGACGTCACTAACAAAAAGGGATTTTAGAGTGCGCCAACAGGAGAACTACGCATGCGCTGTGTTTCTGGTCGCGTGCTAAAATTTAAGGCGGTAGAGTAATCCTGTGACCATAGCATAGAGCTACCGCTTAATTTAAGAATACCGTATGCATTTTATCACACGTTTTTTCCTCGTTTGCAGAAGATAGTTTTCTGTAAATTTTTATGTATCTACCCAGTTAACAAACAGTACAGTTTGCGAATGCGCGCTGTTTAAAAAGTACCGGGATAAGCACTAGTTTCTATGGGCCTACGACAACTTCCCGTCGCACCTGAGTCGCACGGCTCCCAACCGCCGCAGGGCGCCATCCTGGCGAGAATCATCAATTCTTGCGTCGGCATCGCGCTTATCTGCAGTGTTGCTTTACTTAGTAAAAGTAAATAGTAAACCTTACTTAGTAAGCTTTTTTTGTGTTTTACTAATTAAGTAAAAAGTAAGTAGACTGCAAGACAGAAAAGTTAATAGTAAGTAAAAGTAAGAGCAGCCGAGTTGGAAAAAGTAAACAGTAAGTAACAGTAAGAGATACAGAATGGAAAAAGTTTAATTAGTAAATATAGATATTTTAGTTTACTATTTGTCAGCAACAAATATAACGCGGCCAACAGTACCAAAACTCTGTCAAACTCAATTTTTCGTAAGATTTACGTTTGGCACTACAGGTTTCCTTCTGTAGCGCTGAATTTTCGCTGCAGCGGAGACGCTATCGAGCACTTAATGCGCGAGTTACGTGACTGTCAGATGGGCTCTAATATAATGCTCGTATAGTAAATGCATTGGCTTATTACAGTAATGAAATGTTGCTGATTTTGTTTGCTATCGGGGTACCATGCAATATTTTACATATACACGTCGGTTTGTCAAACACGATAGAAAGTAATCTGCGCACCACGAATACGGACCCTAATACTAATCTCCGCCTCTTTTGCGTGAGTCATAGCCCCATTCGTTTCGTACGATTCCGTAAAATACGGAATTTATGCTTTGAATCGTGTGTCTGTTGCGAAATGTTGCTGTGGAAGATGTAGTGGACCAATTTCCGTTTTGTTTTTGCAGAATGATAGAAAAAAGTATTTCCTACTTTCTGATATGTTTTGTCGGGCGATAAAAGCCAAAATAAACAATGAAAATATGAATCCCAGGAGCGCACCGAAACAGGCTGTAAAATCTAATTTGGCCGCGGTATATTGCAATAATACACATAGGTTGCCTTGTGTGCACTGGCTCGTGTCAGTCGTGCGTTTATTTTCAAATTATACGTAGTATTTTATTTTAATTTTTAACTTGTTGCTTCACGAACGTTCATAATGGAAAAAACTCTAGTTAAAAAAACTTATAATCGATTCTACGCGAAAGTTGATTTGGCCTTGCTGGGTGAGGTCCAACATTTTAATCCCTATGCGGCTGAAAACAAGGAGAAAGCTTGGATGGATGTGGTGAAAAGTCTGAACGATGCTGCTCTGTTTTCAAAGTCTCTGGACGTCCGAGCTGTGAAAGAAAGACTTAGCGTGCTCATCACGGCATTCCAGGCGAACGACCTGCAAAAGAAATTCCGAAGTGGAATGGAGGAGGATTACAACAAGATGGAGCAGCTACTCCAGGAAATTTTGACTCTTGTAAAGAGCGCCGATGAAACGCGTCAGCAGAAATCTAAGGCCCATGCTGAGCAAATGGCCATGCGCAAGCGGACAGCGGCCTTCATGGTTTCTGCAGGAGAGCACGGGCGAAAGAAGGGCGAGCAGGAAGCTCCTGACGATGTCTCCGTTTTATCCGGTAAGAAGCTTAACAAGCAAAATAATTTTAAAAAATTACGTAAATGGATGTTAATGTACGGTATATACAAATGCACCTTTAAGTTCTTCTTGTAGATATCCAGTATTTCTGATTTCTTGAGAAAATATCGCTGATTTAGTTTGCGTTAGATTTCGAAGATTTTCAGTTTTAAATTTTCTATTTTTTCTGACAGTTCCTGTAAGTACGTCACGTCAAACTTGATTGCTGGATTACGTAATTTCATAGGAATTTTATTACTTTTTGGACATTAACTTGCTCGTCTTGATGCACAAAATTTCAAACTATTACCGAGGCTTTTGAATTCTAGATGATGAAGATGCCATGAACGACTGGCTCAGCGCCAACGGCGGCGACATTCAAGATTGGCAAGAGGAAGTTCGTCTTCGACGGGCAGAAAAAGCAGCCACTGTCCCACAAATGTCAGAAGAGAAGAAATTCAAATCTTCCCGAGCTATGCGAAAAGATAAGGAAGCAGAAAGTGATATTATGTGGATGAATTTTATGAAAGAGCAGGACGAGAAAAAACTAAAATTCAAAGAACAGCAAGCCGCTGACGCAAAAGAGATCGAATTAAAAAAACTGGATATTGAACGTGAGAGAATTGCAGTTGAGAAATTAAAATGGCAGGCAATTCTAGGCCGGGGGTCAAATAACAATTTTTTTGATTTGTAAATCTGATCTTTTCAAATTTTTGTTTTATTTGTTGTTTTATTTTGAGATGTTTTTTATTGAAATATTTTCTCCTTGTAGATTACCGAAATTTATTTCCGATGTTTAACACAGGTATTCTTCCAGTGTTGGTGGTTCAACATTAAAATACTGACTTGCTTGGTTAGGGTACAAACAGTTACAACAATTTGTCAAAAAAACAGCCACACGAAAAATTTTGTTGACGGGTTTCTCGAATAACTTCATCTGTTTTCTGAAGTCCACAAAAGCGAATTTAACAACCACTTCCTTGAACCCCCATTCCACAGATTCCCGAACAGTTTTCATGGCATCGTTCTGGTGTCTCTTCACGCGGTTGTACGCTGTCTGAAGTTTTGAGTACGGCTTCCTTAAATAATCGTTCATTCCATAACCAGAATCTCCATATAGCGCGAATTTCCGGCAAAAGGTGCTCTGCATAGTTTTCAATTGCCCGAGCATTTTACTCTCTTGAAACATGCGACTGTCATGGACACTACCAGGTTCACCGCCGTACAGGTTGCAAATTAATCCTAAAGCAAAATGTCAGAACTTTAATAAATGTAACATCCAAAAATTATTGAAATGTACTAAATCTCAGTGAAAGAAGTTTAAAAAAACAATTACAAATTTACAGTAATTTATTAATTGAGAAAAAATATGAATTTACCGTTTGGTAGTAGAATAGACTGCCACTTGGTGCAGTGGAGACGTTTATGGCCGCTGTACATGATCTTCTGGTTATATGTTGGTCGGCAAATGGGGCGCGCCGTCCCGTCGATAAAGGCAAAAACATCAGGGAAGACACCTCCTTTCTGTGAGATAGCCGACGCGTACCCCGCGAGATCTTCTTCTGACAACCAGGGATGATCCAGGCGGGAAAGATGCTTCGACCACAAGCAATCCAGTATTGACAAGACCGCGTAGAAAATTCTCGACATGGAGCCTTGGGAACGGCCAAAAAATTTACGCAGTTCCATCCATCGATTTGGATAACACAGGCGGCGCAACAAAATGCACAAGGCCTCCACAGCATTTACACAGTCTCCTTCTGCAGTCCACACCAAATCCGGAATTTTAAGCGCCGTCGCCAACATAGGAAGATCATGCTTCATAAAGCGGAAAAAATCCCAGCATTCCTTCTCGCTTAAAGCATTCAGGCTAAATGATGCTGCACGCCATTCGTCATGAAAATATGTTTTTCGTCTCCGTCGAAGTATCTTACGTCGCAAAATTAAAAACAGCCGTCGAGAGATATTTTTCCGGAGATACAACTTCATTAACGTAGCCAGTTTCATTTTTAAATAAACTAAAGCGAATCTGAATCATAAATATTTAAAATCACAATGTCAAGCTTTTTTTGGAACTGAAATGCGACAGATAGGTGTGGTGATTTTGACATTTGTGGCAAGTGGTAAAACTGCTTCGAGGGCAGTTACGTTGCTCGCGTCTCGCTTCCGGCGCTAGCGGCCGAATACTCAAAAGCAGGCCGAATACCAATACAAACACGATTTTAATTTTGATCGGTATCGGGGTCCGTATTCGTGGTCAGCAGATTGCTTTCTGATAACTTTAAGCAAAACAAAACCGTTTCGAGGGAAAAATGCACTAGTCGAAGTACCAAATTTTCTGCATACTAGTAAAATGGTAGTTCAAGTAATAAATTTTTTACCTGCCGCTCTGTGAAAACAAGATTGCATATGTTAAAGAAATTGCTGCGCACGCGGTCCATGTAAAAACCTTACACGAATAGTAAATACTATTTTACTAGTAATTACTAAGTAAGTAAAAAGTAAGTAAGGCTATGACGAAAAAGTAAAAAGTAAGTAACTTGCACAGTAGAAGGAGTTGCGGGTGTACAGATATATACTAAGTGCAGCACATCATGATGCTGAAGATGTAGATGCAGATGGAAAATTGCTTCACATTCTTACAACATCGCAAGCGACGTATCCTAGAGTACTAGACAACTGCAAATATTGGCTTCGTAGTACTGTATCCGCCCGATAGATTTGCACCACAGAGTGTGGTATACGGAAAAATGCAAGTCCAATATACGCACTGTGCTCCGCGCATGAATTCAAGCAATTTTCGCTATGTTGCACTTGCCGCGAACCTTCTACACGCTTTTGCTGTTCTAATTTCTACCCTAGTTCTCGTATCATTTTCAACGTGTGATAAGTGTAGTAACAGAACACTTTCAGAGCTCTAAAAGATTTTCAATTTATAAATCTGGTTTGTTGTGGTTTTTAGGGTGCCCCTGGCAGGGGCAGGAGTTTTGTATTTCATTTGATTGAATGGCTCTATGGATTGCTGTTATGTTAGAGCTCTTATGAAGACTATGAAAATATTGGACAATAGTTTTTTCACAAGGAAGAAAGAAATTAGTTTTTCCACAAATATTATTCTAGAGAGTAATGATATCTGAAAGACGGGTGAGAAGTAGGAAATAGCAATAACAAGAAAAAGCAAAGTGTGCGCCGCATGGTGGCGGAAGGCTCGTGCTCAATACCCGGCCAGAGGAAGGCAGCGCCCGGATCTGAAAGTGGTGCATATATCTGGACACCCGCAACTCCCTGTAGTGTGCAAATACTATGTACAACAGCTTGCGCGTCCACAGACAATGGCCAAAGTGTTGCCATTGCTGATCAATGGATGCCGCCGGCAGAAAGGTTTACGGATCCGGCAGAAAGGTTTAAGCTTCAAAGATGCCGCCGGCAAAAAGGTTTACGCTGTCGTTAAAAAGGTTTACGCTTTCAATCAAAAAGGTTTACGAGCAAACGTAAACGAAAAAGGCTTACGTAGCAATAACCTTTCAGCCGGATTTCGACCGGGTTAATGGTTCACGATCAAGAGGCTGGGTAAACCTTCCTGCCGAAATCCGGCAGAAAGGTTAATTCTACGAGTACGTAAACCTTTGTAATAAGCCCGTAAACCTTTTTGATTGACAGCGTAAACCTTTTCGTCGGCGGCACCTTTAATGTGTAAACTTTTCCGTCAAACTGCGTTAACCTTTCTGCACGACCACAGTTTCCATTTTACGATGGTACAAAGACGTTATTGTGCGCATTAAGGTCGTCACGCTTCAGAGCAGTCATAATGGTGTCCTACGACAACGAATGCGGCCACTCTGGAAACTGCCACATGCATTTCGCTCTAAAGTTGTTGCCGTTTTAGTGTTCCAGTGTTCTGCACAGAGAAGTTGAAAGTTTACACGGCGAACTTTTTTACCACACGCATTGGAAGGACATATGGCTGTTATAAGTAGGAAACTATTATAAGTAGGAAACCGGGCAGTAGATCGCCGGTTTAAAAACTTAATTGCTGGATAAAAAAATCACTTGATTTTATTGGGTAAGAGCCATCAATAAAACGAAAAGTGCATACACTTGACACTTCTTTAAATCCTTCACATTTGCACTTCAAAAACTGCCGGAATTGTTAGCGTAGTCCGAAGGTTTAAGGAAGGATATTATTTTTCTCTAACACGGCAGCATTTACTTTAACGACAGCCAAGCTCAAGCACTGCTTCTAAAATGTCTCAATAGGGAGATTGCGTACGTTTTTATGGCTACCCCGAAGGCGCACAATACCGTCCTTTACAACATCGCAGAATAAAAATGATGGCCCGGCAGAAAGGTTTACGTTGTCAATGAAAAAGGTTTACGCATCCGGCAGAAAGGATTAAGCTTCAAAGGTGCCGCCGGCAGAAAGGTTAACGGATCCGGCAGAAAGGTTTACGTGGTTCGGCAGAAAGGTTTATGCGGCTTCTTTGATCGTAAACCATTAACCCGTAAACCTTTCTGCCGGTGACACATGTCAACTGGTTTGCGGCATTTTGCACAAGAGTGTGCTTCACAGATTACTGCGCCCAGCCTAAGCCCGACTGAAGTCTTTAAAGTGTCGTCATCGTTCCGGTATGTGCCGAAGGCAGCGCATTCAACCAGATGCCGGCTTCCGGTTTGGACTGGGCAAGGAGGCGGGCTCTGTTGAGCCAATCAAATCGTTCGCGGACTTTGCAACTGGTTGAAAACAGCCAGTGAAATTTGAGAGGTTGAACAGAAGTTCTGCTCAATTCAGGCTCGGTGTCGGATTGCACGTCCACCCCGTGGGCCCGTATAAATAATGGAGCTTAAACGAGGAATAACTTCTTAATGCCTCATCGTCTACGAAACCAAAAATACTCCATAAATAGAGCAAGCTCTGATTAAAGAACGGTTCGGGGGCTGCCATCTCGTCCAAGTCGACTGACTGATAGAAAGCTGTAAAACCTCTTGCAAATCTGCGGTACATCTCACCCATCTACGTCACAGGGGCGGGTACTACGCCACCGTGAAATCAATCCATTAGTTTCGGAATTTAAGCTGCAACTTGCAAAAGTAGTAATATTACATTAAACGATCTACGTTATTGATAGCTTTAGCGTAAAGTACTTCAAGTTTAGCAATTCACTTGCGAGTGTTCAACGTATGTTATTGTTGCGCAGATTTGGAAAGTGATACACTGCAACCTGAGCCCGACATCCGAATCGGTCAGCTGACGCCTTCGCTCTTGAGCGAACTTTTGGCTTATCTGGATCTGCAATCACAGGCGACGGCAAAATGGTAAGCGCTGGTTTAGGTTATGACTAACTCTGTTCATCAACTTTTATTCGGTATCAGCCAGTGCGCATGTCAGATAAGCCTACTTCTATATAGATTTACGCTACTTAAAAGGGCCAAACTGAAATTTTGGGAAACACCCATAATCGTTAGACCATTGGCGATCTCGGGGATGCGCTAAGTGTACCTAAAACAGCCGCTACATTTTCTCTGACTCATTATCGGTAGACTTGAGCGTTGTCTTATAAACGTCCTGGATCGATGTTTTCCGGTAAGTTCACGCATACTCCGGGTGGCGAGACGGATCAGTTCCGCGGAGGCTGTTCCAAATGTCCCCCGAGTGGTTAGACTGCCAGACGATAGAAAAGGTATCCAAGACCAAAGCTTACTTTCGGCGCTTACTGTCTTAAGCCAGTTGCGCTGCCCTTCCGGCCGCAATCGAGCTAGCATATACGTGAGACACTGCCACAGCTCCCAACAAGTCTCATCCCAAACGATCACCTTACCATCGCGCACAGAGGTCAGGTTCACAGCGCGCTGCCGTTTGCTATCCTTGTCCGACAATCCAGACGGACTAGTTTTATTGATCGATTGCGGCTGTAAGGGTCTCATAGCAGTTGCGTGTATCGCCAGCGTATATAACAGTGACAGTGTTTGCAGTAAAACCCCATGTAACATGCACCATCAAATAAAGTTCACCACTTTATTAAGTGAACGCCGCTGGGAACCGGACTGTCCGGTAAACTGTGACACGGGAACAGTTTCCAAACCAGGAGCTTACCCGACCGTGATAGCATCAGATCAGCTTGCTCTTAGTAGTTCACGGAGAATGCATTGATTGTAAATGCAGCAGCTCTTAATCGTGTCATTGTTCCGCAGAGTGTGCGCTCTGTGGCAGCTGCTGCTAAGCAGTCTGCGCATGGCGGAACACATCAGCGTCAACGTGGACGCCTGCTGGCACCTGCAGGCAGACATCAGCAACTGCTTCAAACTGGCAACACTGCTCTCCCGCTCGATTAATTGCACCACGATTAGCCTAACCTTCTCGGGAATCTTCCTCCCGGTGTACGCGGTATTTATAGGAGAACTGCTGGAACTCATGGAGATCCGACTTCGGATAATCGTCTTCAAAGGCCAGATCGTCTGTCAGCCGGAGAGCTTAGCGGGACCAAAGGAGCACCGACTGAAGCACGCGGCCATCAGGGTGCCAACCGAGTGCAAGCACCACTGCGAACGCGTGGCGTTGTATAACTGGACAGTGTCCGAACTGTTCGGCTTGGCAATGTATGAATTGTTTAGAGGGGGTCTAAAATTTAAAGGTGTCCTTCGCTGCCTGCCAGTAAAAGAGCTGGAGTTTATGAAAGACCTCTCGTGGGAATCGCACAAACTGGCCGTCGACAAGCTGGAGGTCCGCATTCCGCGGGTCCTTTTCAGATGCAG